AGTTACAACGCGAATAAATCAACGTAACGATACTTCACATACGGCACTGTCACTGTCAGCCATTCGAACCTTTCAAACAAACGCATACTTTACTCCAATCGAATACGCTAAACACCACGACGAACCAGAAGTTGAAATTTTTGAAGTTCAAACGCAAACGACCCATGAAATAGGGTGATAAAACACGCTAAGGTATACACTGCATCGCTCCTTGTCTTGGACACGCTGTAGGCGATACTCCTGCAATTGAACGATTTATGGTCAAGAGGTCGCATTATGTGGACCTCTGTGTATAATTGGAGCCGTCTCACAATCCCAACTTGTAGCGAACTGGTGATTGTCTTGAGGTAATATATAACCCGTGTGGGAGGGGTTTGGTAACACTGTTGCCTGGCTGCCAGATGGACTTTTCGATGGGAGAACTGTGTTTAGTATTTGTCATAGTCATATGCTAAACTGCCGAGCAAAAGTAAGTTGTTGACTAAAAAATAAAACAATCAAAATAGTAAGAAATGGTTATTCGATGGTGATGTAAGATTTCAGTGCTTTTAGACTAATACAGTTTTGAGTGAGTGAGTGAGTTGTGTTTAACGCCGCCTTTAACAGTATTCCAGTTATATCACGGCGTGTCAGCTTAATGCGGGAGGAAAGCCCGAAGTGATGCAGGTCTCAGACATTTACCATTTCGGTGAAACCCACGATCACGGGTGACAAACCTAGAAACATAATCGGGGCGAACCGGGATTCGAACCCACAATCATAGGTTTCTGGCGTGCCCAAGGGACGCAACTCTGGACAGCGAATCGCTGCGGCTCAGACGACTGGGCCACCCGTGCCCCCCATAAAGTTGTGATAACGTTTATACTTTGTTAGTCAAATCCAATTGCACTCGTTGATAAAAGTGGCAAAAATCCTCGGCAAGCTCCGGAATTTTTCCACTTTTATCAACTCGTGTTGATATATTTCATATCAAAAGACACTCGGGTGAGATTCTCTATTTACCTGTATTAAAGTACGGGCGGTAGATACACCAGGGGATACAGTCTGTGAAGGTAACACTGTGGATTGTATTCTTGTACGATTTCGGGGGGGGGGGGGGATATCCTACCACGGTCTCATCAAGAACCCCATTTCGAGTACTTTAAAACGTTGCTTAGATTTAATTATAAACTATGTTTTCTTTTCTAATTAGTACTTACACTGACAAATGTCACTTAACGTGACACACGTAGGAAGGGGTGTCATTAAGTGTCAACTATAATGGTAAAACCATTAAAATATTTATGTTTTGCAAAACATTGCGTCGAAACAGAAATACATTTTAACACGATGCGCTAATCTTAATAGTCTGTTCACATTTTTTGGCAAGAAATTTAATTACTTTACACATCAGTTTGTGAAGATGATTACATTATGCTGTAATCTCCAGATGCGATCCCAAAACCGCCACCAAGACCTCGAGCGAATTACGCTGTGACAACACTTCCAGTCTGCTTCTGGCAAACAACTTGCCAACACTGCCAACCGTTGTAAACCTTGAACAAGTCTTCAACGTTAGCGTGTTGGTTTGGTACGCGTCCAAATACTCCACATATGCTGCTGTGTACTGTGCCTGGCAAGGTTGACGTTGTCTGTTCATAACATCAGTGAAACATGTACAGTCAATTTCGGATATAACGAAGTTCGTTATAACGAATAATATGTGATAATAAATAGTTGGTTATGACCGTTAGTCGGTAATAACGAATAGTTTGTTATAACGAATAGAACGACAAAGTTGCTAATAACAAACAGTCAGCAGTAACGAATTGTTTGTTGAAAAGTTGGTTGGTTGGTTTGTTTTGTCTGGACCAGACAATCCAGTGATTGATATCTTGAACATCGATCCACGCAATTGGGATCGATGACATGCATCAACCAGGTCAGCGAGCCTGACCACCAGATCCCGTTAGTCGCCTCTTACGACAAGTATAGTCGCCATTTACGGAAAGCATGGACTGCTGAAGACCTATTCTACCCCGGATCTTCACGGGGCGTCTGTTGTAAATAATAATCAGTAATAACGAATAGTTGGTTCAAATAGTCGTAGGGGGCGGTCGGGTAGCCTAGTGGTTAAAGCGTTCGCTCGTCACGCCGAAGACCCGGGTTCGATTCCCGACATGGGTAAAATGTGTCAAGCCCATTTGTGGTGTCCCCCGCCGTGATATTGCTGGAATATTGCTAAAAGCGGCGTAAAATCATACTCACTCACTCACTCACTCACTCACTCACTCAAATAGTCGTAAGAGCGTCTCTAGGCGCATGGGGCTGTAGAGTAGCCTAGTGGTTAAAGCGTTGGCTCATCACGACGACGACCCGGGTTCGATTCCCCGCAATGGTATGGAATGTGACTATTTCGGATATCCTACGGCCGTTCTGGTGCTTGGGTAGTGTTTAAAGCAGCGTTAAGCTCTCCGTGTTCACTTCGCTCTTCAATGCGTTTATTCATTTATACACGTGCATAAACACTTTCTCTTTACTAACAAACGGAGCTAAACTTAATCTAATGAGTTCTCTACACATTTGTCAAACTGAACTATAAAATGAGACGAATGTAGAGTTCGCTGACTGTGTACGAGGTTTAATTCCCAACCGCTCTGATTAAGCCCAATAGCTGAAGTTCTGGGATTATCTTGATACAAAGTGTTTGTTTTCAGACACTTTTGACACGGTTTGACCATGTTTGTTCTGTTGCCTCATCAAACATTCACATTAGAGACACAATATTTACCAGATCCCAGACGCATATATCGATCAATAATTAGCAGTGAGCTTATACAATCCACAATCACGTAACAGCGCAGTGTTGTCAGGGCTGTATCAGATAGCATCGGGTAACCTGTTTAATGTTGCGACACAGAAGTGAATAAATGGCGTTTTATGTCACAGACAGCAATTTTGTGGTTATGTCACGCAGGCCTGTGAAAATAATGTATTGATCAAACAGCTTTAATTATTCACGAGAAACAAACCATGCATACCCTGTCGGAGCACGAAGACACTATCAGGCGGGTGGAACAGTATGGCCATCCAATCCTCCCTGTTAACATGACCACCCAATCCGCTTTCAATCGTTTACTCATTGGAATCCGAGGTAGAACCTTCTTAAAAGTCTGATTTGTAATAAACGTTTTTATCCCCAATCCACCATGTTTAATGAAAGGCCAAGTACGATATTGTTATGATTGTAGAACTATAGAAAGAGTTGGCTATCCACGTCGAGTTTGATTATGCAAACATGTTGATGAATAAGCACTTTTCATTCCGGAAGAAATACCAAAGAGATTAATTTGCTAAAAAAGCACTCTGTCCATAATAACAGCCGCTTTTCGTAATGGTTTTCACAGGGGATAAGCCGACACGCAGTGCAACTTCGCCAAACTAAACCGTCCCATATGTTGAGGCAAGGGAGTAAACGGACTTTAAAAGTCCAGGGCCCCGTTCCTGAAAGCGATCTTAGCTCTAAGGTGATCGTAAGTCCCATACTTTAACATAGGCTTACGATCAACGTAGCACTAAGATAGCTTGCTGGAATTCCGGAGTTACATTTTGTCTGGACTAACGAGTCTTTTCATAGTCCACTCAAAATCACGTAACGAAATGGACATCCGGTTCATAAAGAAAATGGCAACTGACGAATTCGTTCGATTGCAGGATTGGCGAATGATGTGTACCGTCCACTGGGCGTCGACAAATATTTTCCTGATCTTTTCATGATTTTAATCCAGATGCTCAAGTAATTTGATGAACTTCGCGAGATAAAACCCTTTTTTTTATTACAATAAAAATCTTTGCTATCGATGAGATTGTCTTGTCTGGGCGCCGCGATCTTGTTAAGTAGTGGGGACATAGAAGGGACATAACTCGTTAAGCCACTGGTGGCTCTACAATCGAGCCAAGAAATCGTTCGGCAAGAGTGGAAACGGGACTTTAAAAGTCAGTTAACTCCCTTGCCTCGGGAACACGCATCAGTGTATGGTGGAACATATTCGCTGACAATATTGATTTTTCCGAACCCAACCATCCGAGATTCGTCTTCCCATATTATTTATACATTTATTGCATATTATATATCCTTCGACCGTGTCCCAAATCATGTGACTCTAAACCGGCTTGTCTTTATTGACCGCTAGTGGGCGCTGTGTAACTTCCGGTTACTGGTTTGGCGTTTCAGATAAATTAACCAATCAACTTTGTCTTCTCGATATCAATCAGTTGGTATCGATTGTTATTGATTCCGTCTTCCTTAGCCCTTTCTCCCGTATGTGTGTCATGTAGTCCTAGTGGGGTTGAAAGTAACTCCCGACCATCACGCCATCACGGCTAGTAAGCATCGTTTATTTGATCAACATATTTTCCATTCTGGCAAAATGGCGGCTACCAATTCTATGGTTATACATCGATCTCACTCTACAATTATTCCTCAAATGGAATTAAATCAACAAAATGAACGTATATTTTATGTCCACGACAAAACAATTCGCGATTATAACATTGGACTATAAATCCTTTCAGCGTTTATCAAATGTTTGATATGATAATTATCATGATGTGAAGTATGTCCATCAGATAATTTGTATTGCTAATATCGATTTACTATCATACTTTATTTTCTACAACAAAGTTTGTTTAATATGCGTATTCCTTACTTATAACGAAAATTCTTTAAACTGGCTTTAAAATGTCCTTCATAATAAGCCAAAGGGAATGATATGAAACGGCATCACGGAATGGTTTGATGTGTTTGATGTGGTTTGATAATAAGATACATATCCATGTACCATGCGCCATTTACAAAATGTATATGTACATTACATAATATTGTTGCGTTTCAGATTCAATTATGAATGCGTCATGTGTTTTTTTTAAAAATATAAGATAAAATATATTGTTACTGTTCTTAATATTCACTAGTTATATATCTGGTTTTTTTTACTTTTTTTCCATCTTACGTCTACAAGGACATTCAAAGAGTAAGTTTACGCCGCATGATAATTCCTGACTCTCTAGACACCATGTGTTTAAATACTTCAACTTTTTCAACCTTACCATCTATTAATGTTTATTTATTTTATTTTTCTTTGCCTAATTAGTATAGCGTGATTGAGTTATGTTTGCGCTAATTAATGTTTGGTAGTATGCAGTTACTTTTGGCATCCTTACTGTCATTCCCAACAAAACGTTTCTTAGTCTTATTAATACACAAATTCATTAGTGTTTGTGCATGTTTTCCACTCAGCGTCGTAAATTAATATTATTTTTTTCAAACTTCGTGATGGAAAATGCATGGTAACGATGTAGGGGAGATAACTCTCTAATTCCGCCTGCCTTTCCCCATGTTTGATCAGAAATTCTTATACTTAAACCCAAGTTTCTTTTTCCCAATTCCTATGAAGCTTCACTGACTTATCTTGATGTGAAATTACTAACGTAGCATGCATTATGTTTTATTGTTATGAATACATCTGTGTATGTATCGGCAAATGTTTCTCACTGAAGCATCAGTAAAATCACAAAACGTGGAAAATATATTTACAAATTGACACTGCATTCTGAATGAAAAAAGAGATCGCGAGTATATGCATGTGTAATTTCTACACAGTACATTTGCATGTGTGGTCAATACACGGTAATCATGTTTACAATGACATGCAACGGATATGCTAGTTCAATATATAGAACAGTTACTGTAATGCGATCAGCCGTTAGGCTTCCCTGTGTACCGTGGTTTGCAAACAGCGTTTTCTTTACGTGATCAGGTATGTAATGTAATATTCGAGTAATACACGTATTGACCGTACTACATCGGATGAAACATGACATTGATCTCCACTTTAATATTTCAGGTTACGAGCCAGGCCTATGTGTTTCGAACAACTTCTCAGTTGGAGGAGAATACTTCATATTCTTGGATCGAGTCGGCGACAAACTTCGACCTTCCTACAACGAGGTCCTTCTGAGTGCTGACGCACCGGAAATCGACGATATCCAGATATACTGTGAACATGAAATCAATTACCCAATTGGTAAATGCTTCTGGCCATACTTATATCATTATACTTATGTGATAAGACTTATATTGTTGAGAATAAACAAATATATGTTTTCGGTGAAAAAATGAGTCGGTTGTGCGGAATTGTTTTTAGAAAATTATTCAAATTGTTTAGATAAATATTTGTTTGTCGTGAAATGACACTGCTTGATTGGGAATTTAAAAGCAATGGGCCTATTGTGAAAAATGCTACCAAATAAAAACAAATTTCTAAAGACAAAGGTGAAATGTCAAAAGTCAGGGACTATAACGACAGGTCTTATAGGTTATCAGAAGCCTTTGTTATGAACATTTTTTAACGAAAAGAAATTTATCCTCGATTATCCGTTTTTTATGTCCACTGTATATTACGATAAATACCACGGACCCCTTTGCCATCAATTTTTTAAAGTAACTTTACTATCTCCAGTGCTCTTATCGCTAACCTAGCACCGAATGTCGCTCACCCGTGAACTATTTGTCTGGGTCTCTATTTCAACGTCGTGGTTCTTTATATCCCAAAGAATTGTTACATCTGGCAAAATATGTGTAAACTATGTAAGACGTTGTCATCTAAAAATATATCCACTTCGAAACATCTGTTCAGATTCATTGTACATCTGAAGACATTATTACGTTAAAGTGTCTAAATCACCTATTAAAGCATGTAACCATCTTGATCTTCATTGAATACATATTTCATGTACATATAAGCAATCGAAAGCATGTTCTGCAGTGCTTAATAATATTTACTGGTCAAAGTGTTGGTCAAGAATGACCCAGATATGGCCAAAGTTTCGTCATTTAGTTATCAGGATCCGCTGATTGTGGTTACCTGAGTTTGATCCTTGGTTTGTCTGTACCAAACCTGTACTCGTGGGTTTTCCCGAACTGGTTTTTGAGCTCATGACCTTCATTGCTTTGCGATGTCATTACGAACTGAGACGGCAGTTCGTGGTGTGAATGAAAGAACTAATTGACGGGTTGTGTTTCAGGCGTGAACGAGGCCGAGGCGGTCAAGGCGTGTCCCGAGCCCTACCCCGACTACCCTAACTGCATCAAATACGTGGAGCCAGTCGTCGCCACTCCCATGCCACCTAAAGGTTAGCTGGACACCCGGTGTAGTCATTTTTAAATGTTTTTATATGTCTTACATTCCAATTTTTTCAACTTCTCCGCAAATTCCGCAATCTTCTCAACTCCCACACTACCTGACTCGCCCAGTCTCCTCAACCCTCATCTCCAAGATGTCTGAATAACTTAACCTACCCGACCAACTGAACCTTCCCAATCTACAATAATTTGCAAATTATTCGCGAATAATCCACGCGTGGCGGGCAATGGCAATAATCCCCATACATACAATGTATAGTTTACTAGTATGATGCCTCTCTGTGAATGGATTGCAGGTACATCTAATGGTTGATAAATGCATATAATACATTCCTGCTATGATAATGCTGTCATTAAATAATCTTATTGATACGATTATTTGATTCATGATCAACTTGCATCGTACATGTATACATTTATGAACGAGCATATACTTACGTAGTTGTTTGATGAATGCCACTTTGACGACCGCCTCCGTGGTCTAATGGTAGAGCGTCCGCCCGGAGAGCGGAAGGTCATGGGTTCGATCCCCGACCGCGTCATACCAAAAAGACGTTATAGATGGTACTTGTTGTTATCCTGCCTGGTGCTCGGATTAATTCATGTTAAACTGCGGCATGGAATCTCAGTGGGCTAGCACTATAAATCGGCATCAGTCCGGACCAGTACAAGCAGTCACACACACACGTCGCTATATAAGTGCAATAATCTTATTAAACCCCATTTCACCTCACCTCACCACTTTGACCATGGTTATATCACAGTTGATGTATGTACACTGATTGGGTTAAACACATACCATGTACATGTATGGAGGGACGTCCTGATTAGTGTGCCCACACAGTTAACGTTTATATGAATATACTTCTACAAAACCGATTATTATGTACGAATTAGACACATACATTTCAATTCCCATGTTCTTTAAATACAAAACTATAATATATGGATCTTTCTGTGCGTAACATATGCTCAGTGTCATTGTGATATAACGTTTTACAAACATTCTGCGAAGTCCCCGCGTAGCTACGCAAAAGTTTTACAAACATTCTGCGAAGTCCCTGCGTAGCTATGCAAAAGTTTTACAAACATTCTGCGTAGTCCCCGCGTAGCTATGCAAAAGTTTTACAAACATTCTGCGTAGTCCCCGCGTAGCTACGCAAAATTGTTACAAACATTCTGCGTAGTCCCCGCGTAGCTACGCAAAAGTTTTACTAACATTCTGGATAACTTTGCGAAATAAGGTAAAAGACTTTTGCTTTATAGTGTGGCTTGAATACTGCTCAGTACTGCTCAACAACAAACAAAACATTATCATGTAAGATAATGGCACTATTTTCTGTTTTCAGATACAGATTCTGCTGGTCTGTCAGTTGAAGATGGAAAGTCTGAGACTGGGGAGGTGGTTTCCATTGATAAAGAAAACTCCGGAAGTCGTGTCCTCTTGTCCGTCGGAGCCACGGTGCTTTGTGTTCTGATTTCTATTCTTTAGATTCCATCATGCTGTGTTCGACTGCAGTACGGTTATATCATCACTGATGATGTGGTACTTTTAAGCATTCCTGTCAAGCGATGTTCTACACGAGCGTGGGTGCCCCTCAAATATCACTGATATGGTATTAAGTGTTTGCTGGCATTCCCCGTAAAACATTGATCAGCATACTTCGTGACTCACGTACAAGTTAAACTCCGACCATTCAATATTCGAGGGTGTTGTTGCGGTTTGGGACTTTTTTCGGCCATGGCGGGGGCGGGGAGGGGGTCACGGCTGGCCTAGTCGTCTAAGGCGCCGCAATTCGCTGTGCAGAGTTGTGTATCTTGAACGCACCAGAATTCTATGATTGTTGGTTCTAATCCTGGTTCGCCTCGATCATGTTTCTAGGTTTGTGAGCACCCTTACGTGCTCGTGGGTTTCACCAAAGTGGTAAAGGTCCGAGACATGCATCACTTAGGGCTTTCTTCAAAATTTATCTGACACCCCGTGATATAACTGTTATATACTATTTAAAACTACGTTAAACCCACTAACCACACTGTTCATTGCGGAAGCCGAGTAATCAAATTAACTACTTTTTTGTCTAAACATCTTACTTATCGAATTGTTTTCTTTTTGTTTGTAATAAACCTGAGGCAATTCTGTTTCCTGAAACATTACATCTTTAAATATCCCAGACCCCGCCATGGATATTAAATGGTCGGTTCCTAACAACAAAACTGTTGTTACAGGTTGTTGTTTTAGGTGTTGTTTTACAGGAAATGTCACCGAACTATTCAGCAACACCAATATACCATATGTTTAAACAAGCCCGTGACGGTTTGGACATTGTAGATAAAGAGCAAGAAATCTTCAGAGAGTGTCTCAATTCTTTGTGTAAACGAGTTGTACTTTATAGAACCTTTTTCAAAGTACCTATTAATTCGAATTTGATACCCGTTTATGTTCTTAAAGGGTATGTAGTCAAATTATGAGTTCTTAAAGCCAAGATTTCGTTAAGAGGAGACCGCACCCAGTCCAAACTGGTTACCTTGCAGCGGAATGCGCAATGACGAGGCGGGAGTATTGCGAATGTGGACTATTTATAGCTCCTGTCCGTCCGTTTCTGATTGGTTGCATTGAAACAGTACCGGCAGTTTGTCTCAGGGATTCTTCCCCTAGAATCTTTAGATAGATAAATCTTTCTAAACAGCCGAAAATCAAATAATTTGTTCTTTGCCTCGCACACCTCCAGCTCTCAGATATAATGAGGACATTCGGATAAGAGGAAACTCGTTAATCCGAACTCAGTCAACTCGATATATCTTTCATAACGATATGACATTATGATATTAATCATAGTATATTTCGGTATGTTTTCCTCTTCTCTCTCACAGTAATCGAAGATTTCATTTGTATATCACAACACGTTTAATCAAACCAGATTGTTGTTGCAATTGGCCGTACTGGTTATATTACGAGACGCACAATTGGTGCGACTCATCCACGTGACCCATGCGTCCAGATTACGCATGACGTATCAGTAAGCAAAAGAGGCAATATCTCAAATATTAATTCATATACGACATGCACCAAACAGCACTCAAATAGTCGAAAAATGTTACAGAATACGAGTACGTTAATTTGTTATTGTACTCACATATTACTATTGAAATTGCGAAATTTCTCTTTTTAATTAATTGTTTTAGTTTTCACTATATATCATAATCCACATACGACCTAATTATCCTTAATATTTTCCTCTTTGATATTATGACGTAATCGATAGTAAATTATTGTGAGTGGTTACGGATTCATGTTTGAAGTCGTGTCGCAAGGATATTTTGTGTACTTCCGCTTCCGATGTTTGTAAATACTAACAAGACTATTGTCAACATTTGAAATATCAGCAATGGTGCTTTAAAGTTGGTTCTCCATTTTGTCCGTTATGCAAATTAGGGGTTTTAGAGTTTTGTTATTTTGTTTTGTAAAAATGTTAAATAACCATAAAAAAGTACACATCAGATGTTCCTTTAAGAAACACAGAGAGAGGAATGGAACTGTTCTTAATGTCGACTGCTCTTATTTCTAAGGAAATTTATCCAATTCAACACCAAAGCAGTCATTTGCAGTTTTACATCCGCGACGAGCAAGAATTGTACAAATCAAAAGAAACTTGGATGAGTTCGGTATTGCAAGGGAGATAACCGATGATTGTGTCACACATTCCCACATCGGAAGAACGTGTGACCGCATTTCTGAGGCTACTGAGGCCACTCGTAACATATACTCACTCGCTCACGATTTCCAGTCCGAAGTTCCTCTCTCTCTCTGTGTTCCAGCTCTGTGACAGTCAGTTTATTTTGATAAATAAATATGGTAATTTGTAATGATGACCTTAACATACAACAGAGGAATATACTGTTTAAATCAAGCAGTTTTCCGGTGAATTTGGGGTATTATTCTATTTCATAGTCAATGTGCATGGAGCAAGGGTAACTTCAGCAGAGAAAACAATACCAACGATATTTTAGATGGCTGCAGTCGCCTATTTTATTTCATTAAAACCCCGAGTGTAAATTGTAGTCAACGTTCCCTTATATAGTCGTTCTTAGCAACACGTTGCTCGAGTGTGTGTACTACGTCACTTCCTGTTGCGATTTACTCTCTATCGAATCCACTATTTTCTTCTTGACTTCCTGTTACAAATGTGTACATATATCGCTATAGAAAATATTTTCGCTTTTGCTGTGTGTATTTATAAGACATGTAGGTGTACCCAGTAGTTTTGTTGTGAGAGTGCACAAATCTACGCATAACTGAGGTTTTTGTATGTAAATCTTCGTCACGTGATCGTATTCGCCTGTTGTGTATGTTTTGTGCATTAATATATGTACCAAATACAATGTTGTTTATCATCTAATTTATGTGTCTACATTATGAACCTTAATTAACTGTTAGATAACTCAATCATGAATGACTGTCATATATTCATTTACAAAACCTTTAATATATTAGAAGACCTGTTTTGATCCGCGAACATTTTGCCATCAATTAAAAGAAATCAGTTTGAAAAGGTGTTTATGTTAGCATAATGGCATGACCATTGTTTATTGTTGTTTGACTTGTTAAAACAAGATTGTTCAGACGTATTAATAAAAGAACGTTACGGTCTATTCATTTTGCCAATACTGGTTCATATAAATCATGACAAAATCTGCATATGTGCGCATGACGCGGTTGTCACGTGTGTATTCACGCAATCATTGTGTCTGTTCGCGCGTATTACCTTTTTGCACTATGCTAGTTAAAGACTACGTTTTGAATTAACTATTTCAATCATGCTGGTGCCTTTCTTAACCGAATGCAACGTTTTTCGATACCATTTTCCATTGTAAATATCGTTTGACCATTGCTTCTTTTTTTTTTTAAAGAATTTCAAAAATAATTTCTTGCTGATCCAGACTTAAGTATCTTTGTCACGCCCCTGTGACGTTATTGAAATACGGTGTATGGAAAATGGCGGAGTGTAACGCCGAAATTAATTGGATTCAATATTAGCTTACCATACACACATTCTCAGTTCAAACGACGTGTGTTTGTAATGGCTTTCGATGGGGGTGTTTAGCTTTAACGGCAAATAAAATATCTGACGCCAGATAAAAGTTATTTATTTATCGATGCACTGATAGAGCGGTGTTCCAATTGTGTGTACTTATTTCTGTACAGTACTGTATTTCGTTGCTGTGGCATCACCCAATGCCGGTTATCTCATCCTAGAGCTAGTCGGTAAATAAATGTAAACAAACAAAATCATTTGTGTTTGTGTTTACAGTTTCTTTTGTCTGTTGTCACAAAACGGCAAGATCACACCTATGTCACAAAGGGGGGCACGGTAGGCCCAGTCGTCTAAGACGCGCGATTCGCTGTGCAGAGTGATGGTCCTTGGGCACGCCAGAAACCTATGATTGTGGGTTCGAATCCCGGTTCGCCCCGATTATGTTTCCAGGTTTGTCAGCACCATACCCGTGCTCGTTGGTTTCACCGAAGTGGTAAACGTCTGAGACCTGCATCGGTCTCTGTACATGTGTCTGCAGAAGAGAAAAGTTTAGCCCATGATCAGGAACAAATATGGACATGCCCACACCTTAAATTGGTCAAGGTCGAAAAGCTACTTAAGTAACAGGTTTGTCTCCTATATAGATTTTATATTTGCCTTTAGGTCGCTGCTTACCCATGCAAACAAATAACTGGACTCTACATTGATACATTAGATGTATTCCTAGACGTTTCAATGTCACATTACATAACAGCTTATCTCAGCTACACACATTACATTAGAACGATAGAGACAATAGAGATTTTTTCGTTTGTTTGTTTGTTGTTTAACGCCGCACTCACATATTATCGTTAGAATACGGCACCACATACACACTAGACTAGGGACTGGGTAATTACGAATTTGGGGCCCCCTTTCTTGGCGCTGGACAAATTATAATACCATGTCCCTGGCCTAGCTTGTTCCGCCTGACTGTTTGTTTGTTTGATGTTTAACGCCGCACTCAGCAATATTCCAGCAATATGACGGCGGTCTGTAAATAAGCGAGTCTGGACCAGACAATCCAGTGACTGACATCATAAGCACCGATCCACACATCCAGCATGGGTTGCTGAAGACCTATTCTAACCCGGATCTTCACGGGTCCACTGACAGCATAAGTCACACAGTCTGTGTCGACGCCATCGTGAATCATGATTGTCGGCGCCGCCAGGTTTGTCAGTGTTGAACGATCACAGCCCGGATCGGGTTACTGGTAACACCCAGCACCTATTCTACCCCGGATCTTCACGGGTTCTGGGGAGTATTCATAGTTACTCGGACCTATATTCAAACAAACAAACAAACAAACACACAAACAAACATGGGTTTAACAAATGCGCATAGAAAAGATTTAAAAGATTAAAAAGATTAATCAAATTAAGTCGATTACAATGGAAAAAGAACCTGTCAGCTCTAAATTGAAAACAGTATACACCTGGAAATTGTTCATATAAAAAAAGCAACATTTGTTGTGTTCTTGGCATCTTGGACAATCCTGTGGTGTTTAGTTTTTTCCCAGGGGTATATATCCCTTTTCTCCTTCATAAGACCCGCGAAGATCCGGGATAGAATAGGTCTTCAGCAACCGATTCTTGCCGTAAAAGGCGGCTATGCTTGTCGTAACAGGCGACTAACGGGATCGGGTGGTCAGGCTCGCTGACTTCGGTTGATGTATGTCATCGTATCCCATTTGTATAGATTGATGCTCATGACGTCAGTCACTGGATTGTCTGGTCCAGACTCGATTATTTACAGACCGCCGTCATATAGCTGGAATATTGATGTGTGCGTCGTTAAACAACAAACAAACAAACAAACAAACAAACAAACAAACAAACAAACAAACAAATCTCATTCATTCGGCCCCGGGTTCGATTCCCGACATGGGTACAATATGAGAAGCCCATTTCTGGTGTCCCCCGCCGTGATATTGCTGAAATAGTGCTGTAGCGGCGAAAACCAAACTCTCTCATTCCTAGATTGTTCAGGCTCCTGACCACTGGCAACAGACCACGCGGACTATATTTTATAAAAGAAGATGGCTGATGGCAGTGCTGCATCTAGGATTTGCATTAAGAAGGCGAACTGGCCCATCGCCTCATGAACAATGGGCCACTCATAACAAGTTGGCCATTACCATACAAAGTAATTACAATGTTAACATTCCAACACCTATAGTGTCCTTTGGGCACGCCAGAAACATATGATGGTGGGTTCGAATCACGGTTCGCCCCCGTTCTGGGTTTGTCAGCACCATACCATACTTGTGAGTTTCAACAAAGTGGTAAACGTCTAAGACCTGCATCACTTCGGGCTTTTCCCCACATCAAACTGACACGCCGTGATCTAACTGGAGAACTGTTCAAAGCTACGTTGAAACCAACTTACTCACTCACTCGAAACATGTAAATATTAAAGCCTTTAGCAAAGAAAGGGAGATGACTCGAGAATGACTTTCACAAGTTACCCATATCCAAGTTAACTTTGTAGCGATGAAAGTCAGTCGGAATGAATATCACCTTGACTATGAACTTAAACAACCATGAGATGTGACCAATCACATTATAATTATAACTGTTTATGTAATAATTGCAGTTTTCAGAAATAATATCTGATAAATTGAAAGTAGACATGTATGCTGAAACGTTTTGAAACAATGTTTTTGTTACATTACGACGTGAAATGGGGTTTAACGTCGCGTCAAAGATTATTGCACTTATATAGCGACGTGAATGCAGGTGTGTGTGTGTGGCTGCTTGTACTAGTCCGGACTGATGCCGATTTATAGTGCTAGCTCACTGAGATACCATGCCGCAGTTTAACATGAAAACCCCACTCAGACACAGTATACTGACTCCGAGCCAACCAGTCCTTGTTTTAGCCCCTTAATGCCGAGCACGAGAGAGGGTAACAACAAGTACCATCTTTTAACGTCTTTTGGTATGACGCGGTCGGGGATCGAACCTTGCATCTTCCGCTCTCCGGGCGGACGCTCTACCACTAGACCACGGAGTCGGTCTATTACATTACGAACTATCGACAGAAAAAATTGATAATTTTTGTACAGTCCCCTCACATGGCACAAGTTGACGTCAAACGTCTTTTCTCCTGGTGTTTCACATATATAGTACACTTTTTTGTTTCATTTCTTTAATAAATGCACCAAAAAGATCTTAATGTACAACTGAATTTATTCGCCTGCTTCTGACCCTTTCATCAAGTTCTTAACACTTTGGTTTAATTGCACGCACAGCGGCTCTTTAAGTAGCACGTAGAAGCCACAGTATACTTTGTTTGTTGTTTAACACCGCACTCAGCAATATCCGAGCTCTGTGGCGGCGGTCTGTAAATAATTTCGACCAGACAATCCAGTGATTGACATAATGAGCCGCAGTATAGTTAAGTACAAGATTGAGTTATGGATTTCATATTGAAAAAACAACATTAACAATTAAGGTGTCATTATTTAAAAAAACAAACATTTTTAGCAAATGTTTCATCCACACCCTCAAGATACCTGTCGGATAATTACATATCTCCACATAAACCTTTTGCCTACACAACGTCTTGATTGTTGTGTGATCTTTTGGTCAAATCTATACCGTTTTCCATCCCAACTGGATCGGCACCAGAGTGTCTAGATCTTCCCAGGATAATGTCAAACAAAGTCCCCCTTAGCATGGAGATCAACAAAATCACAAACTGAATAAAAGGCACCCCAATAAAGCTACAGATACATGCATACATGGCAGCACTGCCTGGATCACTGGACCAGTCTAGCACAGAGTATATAGCACTGTAGCCCAAGCCATTGGTTCCGCCTGCAGCCTGGTATACCGCGGAGAAGATGACGAAGGTGACCGCCACGATGAAGGGATGGAAGAAGTGGAGAAACCTGACTGGAGATGCTGTGATACATAGGTTGATGATGACGTATATGGTGTTGCCGGCGTGGGTGATGTAGTCAACATTCGATATGTCACTTCCCGCTGGAATAAAAAATATTTATATACATTTTTTAATTAGTAAATTAACCGAGACTTACCTGTAAGTTGAAGTTTTATAGAATTCTACCAGCCAGTCAGGAGTGATGAGGGGTAGCATGAGATTGCAAACTATTGTAACCACTCCTGAAAACTGTAGGCCAGATTTTGAGGGACGTTTCGACTGATTGGCAATACGCTATGAAGCAAGGGAGTGAAACCTAGGCGGAGGCAGTCCTTCTGTAAGTTCTCTGTTTAATCCGGCAACATTTCTCAAAATGTGTAGTGATCATTTTCCAAGCATCAGTGCAGTGTTGTTTCAAATTACCTGCTCACCGACCTTGTGGTCTGTGGCTATTTCTTTTCTGCCTCTCACAGGCTGATTTTCCCCCTGGAATCTTGCTGGGTGTTTTTCTGAACAAAAACGCTGTCTGTAGTAGGTCCGCCTCTGAATCCGTGACTTGCCAAAGTACGGATGGTGTCTGGGACCCCACGATCGCCTGTACTAGCCTGTTGACGCTCTGTGGCCGATTCTGGTGATAGTCCCAAAATCACAAAGATTTCCATAACATCTTCGGCAAAAAAGCTGATTAGGCGTTGATTCCGATGATGAGGAACACAAAGCTCGAACTTCGGAAATATATTCAATTCACAAGGCTTCTTTGAGCCTGTGAACTAACTCACTGTTTGTCGTTCCCAGCAATCCAAGCGCGTCGCCCAAGAGTTTCCGGGTATTACTGAAAGGTTGTTTATCCAGGTCGGTCTTCTACAGAAATAGGATCATGACGAAAACACGGGAAACTGCCGTCACACTTGTAACGGCCCCAGTGACATTTTGTAAAGCCATTTGTCAACACCCTGTGCGTAACCAGGGATGTTATCCCACAAAATCTTATTTAACGCCAGAACGTTAAGCACATCACAGGTCTGGGGCTTGCGGTACGTTTTTATTCGTTCTTCAATGAAGTTGTTGCTGTCGCGAGATGTTTTCAAATCAAACTAAGTTTTGAAGATGTCTGCCAACTTATGGTCAGTTGGCTCAGAATGTCCCTCGGTAAGTCCGAGGCTTTGTCAAAAGTAGAACTCATCCTTCTCTCGTGGAGTACTCGCACCCTGTGATGTGGAGCACATCTTCTCAAATGGGTCTGCTCAGTAATCATGTCCCCGGCGTCAGTACACAGTTCGATATAATCGTCTCCATAATCGCCCATCTCATAAATTAAGGAAAGATATCTTCCTCTCAACCGGGTAGAACGAGATGATTGTCAAGTTTCTCTTCCACGGATTTGAAAGGTGTCTCCAGTTGCAAAGCCGAGCAGACATTTTCTTTAGTTCGTCGAGAAAAAGTGCCATTTCGGTAATCAAATGCGAACTTTGTCACCAAAACGCTGAAGGTGTACTTACGGGAATATAGTAGCCCCAGAACAATATTGTCACCAAAATACTGAAGGTGTACTTACGGGAATATAGTAGCCCCAGAACAATATTGTCACCAAAATACTGAAGGTGTACTTACGGGAATATAGTAGCCCCTAGAACAATATTGTCACCAAAATACTGAAGGTGTACTTACGGGAATATAGTAGCCCCAGAACAATATTGTCACCAAAACACTGAAGGTGTACTTACGGGAATATAGTAGCCCCAGAACAATATTGTCACCAAAATACTGAAGGTGTACTTACGGGAATATAGTAGCCCCAGAACAATATTGTCACCAAAAGACTGAAGGTGTACTTACGGGAATATAGTAGCCCCAGAACAATATTGTCACCAAAATACTGAAGGTGTACTTACGGGAATATAGTAGCCCCCAGAACGATACTATCACCAAAAGACTGAATGTGTACTTACGGGAATATAGTAGCCCCAGAGCAATATTGTCACCAAAATACTGAAGGTGTACTTACGGGAATATAGTAGCCCCAGAACAATATTGTCACCAAAATACTGAAGGTGTACTTACGGGAATATAGTAGCCCCTAGAACAATATTGTCACCAAAATACTGAAGGTGTACTTACGGGAATATAGTAGCCCCAGAACAATATTGTCACCAAAACACTGAAGGTGTACTTACGGGAATATAGTAGCCCCAGAACAATATTGTCACCAAAATACTGAAGGTGTACTTACGGGAATATAGTAGCCCCAGAGCAATATTGTCACCAAAAGACTGAAGGTGTACTTACGGGAATATAGTAGCCCCAGAACAATATTGTCACCAAAACACTGAAGGTGTACTTACGGGAATATAGTAGCCCCAGAATAATATTGTCACCAAAATACTGAAGGTGTACTTACGGGAATATAGTAGCCCCAGAGCAATATTGTCACCAAAAGACTGAAGGTGTACTTACGGGAATATAGTAGCCCCAGAACAATATTGTCACCAAAACACTGAAGGTGTACTTACGGGAATATAGTAGCCCCAGAACAATATTGTCACCAAAATACTGAAGGTGTACTTACGGGAATATAGTAGCCCCAGAGCAATATTGTCACCAAAAGACTGAAGGTGTACTTACGGGAATATAGTAGCCCCAGAACAATATTGTCACCAAAACACTGAAGGTGTACTTACGGGAATATAGTAGCCCCAGAACAATATTGTCACCAAAATACTGAAGGTGTACTTACGGGAATATAGTAGCCCCAGAGCAATATTGTCACCAAAACACTGAAGGTGTACTTACGGGTATATAGTAGCCCCAGAGCAATATTGTCACCAAAACACTGAAGGTGTACTTACGGGTATATAGTAGCCCCCAGAACAGTATTGACACCAACACACTGACGGTGTTGCTGAGGTTTTGCCAAACCCAGGTCACTTTGAGAAACAACGGCATCCGATTGACTTCACCTGTTAAATAAACGACATCGTCAGGAATACAGTCCGTGCGGCATCTGTTCACACAGGTAGAACAGGTTAAATTCCGGCCGTTAGAAATGTGTTGGAATAAATGTATATGCAAGGTTTTCTAATATTCCTAGCAATTTGTTTCTCCTTACATCTGTGTCACGTATTGAAATGCCTGTTACGATATTGGTATGGGCGTTCTGACGTGACCCGTTATGGGATGTTCTGAGATCTTTGTTAAACGGTAGCGAGAACTAAGATATGATTGTAATGAGCTTGGGGCGGAAGGTAAAATAATATGGTTCAAGGACTGTGAGACAGACTAAGTGAAATGTGTAAATTCAGCATATTTCTCGCACCAACCATTGATGATGCCCTTCCTTACGACCATATGAGCCATAACTTTATTAATCTTCATGTAAAACGTAGTACAGTAAACTACGGTTATAACGAACACAAAGGGATCACTTACTTAAATTCGTTATAACCGTATTTCGCTATAAGCAAACATAAGCATATATACAGCAAAGGGACGGGACACCAACACAGTTCGTTATATCCGTCAGTTCGTTATAAGGGTGTTCGTTATAAACGTAGTTTACTGTATATTTATATGCATACATGAGCATTCAGTTATAGCTGAGTTTACCGAAATGTGTTTTATTTCATACTAAATCCTGTACGCACAATTAATGATGTCTTTTCTCATTAGGTAGCAATATCCCACAGCCACAAATTCAATGATAGTGCACAACGTGAGGAGGAAGAACATCCAGTTGGTGAGGTAGATGAACCACTTGACATTGTCCTCCTCGGTCCTCGTCCAGTTGTACCTGTCCGTCAGCCCCGACAGGATGATCATAGCGACGTGATAGACAGCAACCACACCGCGCCAACACAAGTACACTTTCGGCCAGCCCCACTGGAAGGGTAACATTGTGAGTTGTGTTGGTAACATAAACAAAGGTTTGTTTGTTGTTTAACGCCACTTTCAGCAATATTCAAGCTATATGACGGCGGTCTGTAAATAGTCGAGTCTTGACCAGACAATCCAGTGATTGACATCATGAGCATCGATCCACGCAGTTGAGATCGATGACATGCATCAACCAAGTCACTGAGCCTGACCACCCGATTACGTTAGTCGCCTCTTACGACAAGCATTGTCGCCTTTTTCGGCAAGCATGGATTTCTGAAGACAAATCTATTCTAACCCAGATATTCACGGTACATAACTAAATGGTCTGCCAATATAGACGGGGTAACATTATGAGGTGTATTGGTAATATATAGACAGGTATTAGGAGCAGTATTTGTAACTGAAGAATATTGCGAACCAAATATTTTGCCTCAGGGTTTACGTGTAAAGAACCTGAGGAACAAATTCTTTAAAAAATATTCCAATTGAGACTTTTAAAGTCATCTTCGCCATCCTATAACACTGCAAACACAAGGTGGTACATGCAAGTGATACATTATAATCCAAAAGTGATCATACATGTTATGGTCAGTCAGCGTGTTTTATATTTATTGATTCGCCATATATTCCCTGAACTAGAGTCACCATAAGTGACAACTCGGAAGTGCGTCACGCGGTTTTTCTCCTTCATTGAGCGGAGACGCAATGAGGTAACCCAACTCCTACTCAGTGCGGTTTTTTATACACACATCAAACAGTGACTTGCAGTATTCGTCTTTATCCGTTTTTGTTCCTATTAAGGGTTTAACCATGCACTTTTTAATACTCCCCTTCCCACGCGCCACCCCCACAAAAACGTAAAACGGTTTTTTTCAGTTTGTTAAAACACAACTATGACGTCACTCCATTGTTTCAACTGAAGATATCTTGTGACGAATTTGCAGTTTAATGACATAATTTCTGCAGTGCACATTTTAAGCTCATGCATCAATTAACAGCACATGCAAAACGAATGAACTGGCTCAAACGATCAAATCGCCCAAAATGCTAATTCAACAGGCTAATTCAAATGCAGCCCGGATATCGAAGCAGAAAGTTGCGTGTATTGATTGATTGATTGAGTGAGTGAGTATGGTTTAACGCCGCTTTTAGCAATATTCCAGCAATATCACGGCGGGTGACACAAGCAATGGGCTTCACACATTGTACCCATGTCGGGGATCGAACCCAGGTCTTCGGCGTGACGAGCGAAGGCTTTAACCTCTAGGCTACCCGACCGGCCCTTCGTGTATTACGAATGCATTGCATGTAATATTCATGCAACATATTTGTGTTGTATTTATTTTCATTATTTATTGATGTATTCTCAGATACAACTATCAGGCTGTATTAGTTACTGCACATTCGTTACAATAATGATACTTGCCACCTTCGCGTGTCCATACATAATTTTGTAAGGAATGTCCAGTAACTTGTGCGATACTGATGAGTTGTTGTGCTGACAAAATATATAGTCGACACCCATCTTAAAGTAAATCGGGGCGGTCGGGTAGCCTAGTGGTTAAAGCGTTCGCTCGTCACGCCGTAGACCCGGGTTCGAATCCCGACATGGGTACAATGTGTGAAGCCCATTTCTGGTGTCCCCCGCCGTGATATTGCTGGAATATTGCTAAAAGCGGCGTAAAACCAAAACTCACTCACTCACTCACTTAAAGTAAATCACCTTATCGTTCCCTGTTAACAATAATTATGTACCACAGGACTGCCATCTACAGCCATACAGTAATAAACTTTTTTCTCAGTACACCATACATGTTCTCCTATTATCGAGTGTGATAAAAGCATGTGTGACTCATGTTATGCATTCATTCATAACATGCGAATGATCGTTCCACACGAGTGACCTAACAAGCCCTTAGCTTGCGCCGGTGGCGGCTTGACGTACTTCTTAAATTTAAAGTACGCATACCTTTGTAGCTTAGTGTTCCTGTCCCATGAAAACGTGTATATATCTTATCACAAAGGGGATATGTATACGCGTAGCCTGACTGATATATGCTGTGTATTTCGGACACTGGAGATAAGCATTACGAGGTGAAGGTAAGCTGGTCGACACTACACTTAATGACCTCCAACCGACTGCCTTGTAACACCTACCAATTCAAGCATTCAGCCTTAATTTCGGCCTATGTCTCACACAACACAACCCATATGTCCAGTCTATCCATTAACACGTGTATGTTCCTATCCCATATTTTAAACGTACATCTCTGTAATCAACGAACGTACTCGTTTTTTAAAGTTGTGTCAGTCATACGTGTATGAGGTGTTACAAATGAAAAACAGGGTAAGAGTTGTTTTTTGTTTATATTACCCATGCACTCAACATGCCTACAATGAAAACACACAGGTTGGGGAGGGTCAGAAAGGATGTATTTAGTAAATCAGCTGGCTCAACCCAATCTGTATATTCTTACCTCGAAGTTGGTAAAACGATGTGGTTGCGGATGCTGGAGTCCCCAGCTGGAACACCGGAACTGTTCCCTCCAGTGTTCCTTGGAACACATTGTCCTGGAGTCGGAACTGTCACTGTGTATCAAACGTCAATAACCAGTCCTCGGACACGAAACACGGCTTGGTGATAAGGTATGCAGGGTGTATACAAACACGGGGTTGAGTTACTGCTCAGTGTCCGACAATCGTGTGTCTTTATCGCCACGGAGGAATGAGTAATGACGGTGTTTCACTCAACCGGACGTACCACACAAGCAGACGACACGGATGCTCAACCGACGACGAATGTATACGGCACATCCACATTCCCTAATGGCGGAGATTATGTTAAGTGACCGAAACCAATCTGACCGCTAAGTAGGTCAAGCGGAACTACGCGTCAAGGTCGTGAACTGGTTTGTTTGCATGTTGCTAGGTCCATGCAGGAAGGATAGCCACAGAAACGTGTGATTTCTTTTCAGAAATTGTCGCAACTAAGCGACACGTTAATTACACGTCAAGCGCCGTGTTATTAATAGGCATACCCGGTACGCATTGTTCACGGATGAGTGAGTTATTATTTATTGGCATTGTATAAGGCTCGCATGCTTTACTATAGCTATTCCATGAAGCATGTCCTGAAAATTGTTGCAATTGAATTGAACATTCAGTTCACAAGCAGCACGTGAACCTAGCTCTTTGGCGACACGGGTCATTAAATGCTTGTCCCTGGGCAAGCATACAATTCACACAGGACCAGCTCACACATTTATCAATCACGTAAATATTACTTATCCATGAGAAAACAGCCCTGATTAAGATCCGATGAACACAGCAATCTCTTTTCTATATATTCGCTAGTTTTAACCAAAACCTACCAAACACATGCACGTTAAATGAATAGAATAGTACAATAAATTATTGATGTTAGTAAATATTTAATTCGTCATTTCACAGATTTCCTTGTATGGTGTTCTCGTGATGTTGTGGTAGAGCGTCTGCTTGGAGAGAGGAAGGTCGGTGGTTCGATGCCTGATAAAGTCATATTTAAAACATTAAAAGATGCAACTTGTTGTTACCCTGACTGGTGGCGTTCGGCTTTAACGAGAGGTGAAATTGGGTTTACCGTCGCGTGCACTTAATTACTGTAGTGTTAGATACCATGCCGCAGTTTAACATGAATACCCCACTTAGAAACAGTATACTGACTCCGAGCTGACCAGTCCTTATTTTAGCCCCTTATGTTGAGCGCCAGCCAGGGTAACAACAAGTACCATCTTTTAACGTCTTTTGGTATGACGCGGCCGGGGATCAAACCCCGGACCTTCCTCTCTCCGGGCGGACGCTCTACCACTAAACCACGGAGGCGGTCCAGTGGGACATTGACGCGTCTAAGAATACCCCCAGGTATCAATGTAGAGACCAGTTATTTTTATGTATGCATATGCAGCAACGTCAAGGCAAATATAAAATCTATACAGGAGACAAACCTGTTACTGAAGTAGCTTTTCGACCTTGACCAATTTAGGGTGTGGGCATGTTCATATTTGTCCCAGTTCATGGGCTGAGCTTTCCTCTTCCGCAGACATGAAGAACGATTTTGATTTCATCCATCATGAAATTCATGAATATAAATATAAATCTGCTGCCCTAACCGCGAATCTACAAGCTATATACTACTCAAAAGAAGTTAAAGGACATCCGATACTTTTATTAATTTACTTTAGTTGATCTGTCAGAACAATGCCAGATTAACTATGGTCATATGACAAAATCAGTTTTTCTATACTTCTTTTGAGTAGTCATAAAAATATTGGTCGTTGGTTCGATGCCCGATCGCGTCAGATCAAAATCGTTAAAAGATGGTACTTGTTGGTACCCTGCCTGGTCCCGCTCGGCATTAACGTGAAGTGAAATGGGATTTACCGTCGCGTCCAAGATTATTGCACTTAATTAGCGGTGTGTGTGTGTGTGTGTGTGTGTGTGTGTGTGTGTGTGTGTGACCCAGCAATATAGCAGCTATATGATGACAGTGTGAAAATAATCGAGTTTGGTCCAGGCAATCCAGTGACTGACATCATGAGCAGCGATCTTCGCATTTTGGATACGATGACGTGCATCAACCAAGTAAGCGAGTCTCTCAGGGCAAGCATGAGATAAATCGACCAATTCTAGACCTGATCTCCGCAGAAGTGAAGTGACATTCATGTCGAAATATGTATTTTATGATGTAATGGAGAACCTTTCCGTTTTCATTGGCCGAAAAGCGACCACTTGACAGTCCATAGAAATGCATACTGACTCCATCCCATGTCCGATAATTTACGATATGGACATGAGTTACTACAAATAACAACTGAAGAAAACCCCAGGACTAAGTTATCCACGATTTTCAGCCAATCAGCTGTCTCCTTTCCCAGAGAACCCAACACGCGACGTTCCCAACAACGAAAACATGGCGTCCGCGTCCGACAGTAAATCCAACCGTTTCGCTGATGCATCTGTCGAAG